TATTTTTTACTGATTTCTTCAATTTCGGACTCCAGCTCCTTGATTTTTGCTTTAAGCTGTTGGCTATTGTCACTAAGCTCTTTACTCGGGCTACTGTTGGATGACACAGATGCTTGAATAACCAATGACATGTCCTGTTAATGGTAATGGCATAGGTTTATGATAATGTTATAGCTGAAGGGATTTAGAGAGCATTATGCTAATTAAAAGCTTTTTCTCCTCCCACACATGCTCTCATAATACAAGAGACAAGTCGGGAAAGAGCGAATTTCCTCGGAAAAGGCTCGGCGAAAACCGTAAGTATGAATCACAACACAAAGACCAAGATACGGTAAAAAGGCGAGGAAGATTAGGAACTAGTCCACCTGTCCTCCTTCAATATCGAGCACGCAGTCTTCGTGACTAACTGTCAGCGGTCTGCTTACGCCGACTTCAGCTGGACGACAAAAAACGCAGGCTCCCTTATCTGCTACTCACTCCATAACTCGCAAAYGCTGTTATTGATACTTACAGTCTTGAGCTGATCCAGTTCCTCCGCRTGTTTATTTTTCAACATCTCAATTTCTTCCATGTACTTTTGGCTCATAGTTTCCATCTCTGCTTGTAGTTGRGTGACCTCGGTCTTTAGTCCCTCGCCGTGATCGCTACTTCTTTTCARTCTATCCATCTCTCGCTGGTGGTTTTGTTTCAAGACTTCCATCTGAGCCTCGTACCTGCGGAGGATTCCAATACACACATATATAACAGTTATATTGTTTGTTGRGAGAGGGGAGGGGACGGTGGGGAGGAAATTGGAAATAAACTAGACTGCACAGCTTTGACAATGCATGGCAKGGGATTTCAATGTCGCACATCGTGATTTAGGATWRCTTTYAGCAGGCAAAGGAGTGGATTTTCAAGAATTCTTAACCTGGACTCCCAAGAGAATCAGAAATGTGGAAACAAAWCGGTGCGTGCAGCTMCAGCACTGTTGGCGAAGATGGGTCAAAAGAAATGTCATAGCAAACACCAGACTGGCTCCACAATACATAAATAATAACCAAAAACACTATAAATAATATTTAGCTTTTTCAGTGCAAGAAGTGACGAATAAAATTGAAGCAAAATTAATTCATACTCAAGAGTTATCATTAGAACGATCGAAAATAGCACATTTTGAGCACAATAAAGTTCTTAAAAACACACAAAGACTATTTTGGTTCGTTATAAGATATGATAATAATACGAACAAAAAATGCTAACAAAAACACTTCACTGTTGGAGGTCTGGTGCAGGATCTTACAAACGAAAYATTTAACATGCATTCGATAATGTATGCAAGTGAACGAATGCTAGGAGAATCATTTAATAGTGTCCATTAAAAAAATACAAGGTTGTCTGAAGTTTTTCCTCCAGAAACAGGAAATCATTCTGCCTCACATGATGTAAACATTCCGTTGCACATGAAGCGTTACATTWGAAAAACGTGCGTGACAAAGAAATTCGTCACGCAATTATAATTCGACAAAAATGTAGCAGAAACACTAGAAATCAGAGAGCAGTTTTCTGGTATTGAGTTAAGTGGAGAAACAAAAGAAGCTAGAAGACCTCTTGAAAATGATGGCAGCGCGTTCTCGTAAAAAGAACACCAACAYGGYTTGACCACCTACAGTTTACATCAGTTGATAGCCAAAACTTCGCTTCCGAAATTCTTTGTCATGTAATTTGAGTTGAATTGCAAATAACTCCCTTTCAATGAAAAAAGAAAATAGTTCAATTCGCCGAGAAAATCTTGAAATCTCGTTAATCGTTGTCAGTCAAACAGACAGATACATTTAGCCGTCAAGATGAAGGTCAAAAGTTGCCACTCGTTGGCTTTAGGTAGCTGTTACTAAACTATAAAAAAGCTTTTCACTGACGGAAAACCCAACGTTTCTAAGCACCTTTTCCGATTGAAACCTTGACAAAAAGTGTCTCTTGCAGACGTCAGTGTTGTGCAGAAGGTGCTCTAGAGGKACCAGAGATGCCGGCAAACAAAACATGACAAATCCATTAAACCTACCCTGAACGAGCGCTCCTGGACGAGRACCTTTCTGACCGATAGCGATGTGCAAACATGCTAGCACTACATGGTACATGATGGTTGTTTAGTTATACAAGAACATGTATGTCCGGTAATTCACAAACTACAAGGCAAAAGCGAGCGTTCCTCGACCATCATCCACAGTGCAGCCCTGCTGGAGATGTTTCTACTCCATTCAATGTATTCATGGGGTAATCAAATTGTTACTCCTACTCTCCCCCCACGGGGTACTTAATCCTACACCCCGCTCAAAAAACACCTTTGTGTTTTAATGCAGGAACTATATGAGTCATTTCAATACTCAATACGCAGTTGGTTGCTAAGACTTTAACTGATTTAAAAAAAGCCACCTTCCCAGAGCATAGATTCGATAACAAAACCCCAAGAGGGGGAAGGGTATGTCAAATAGTTGGCATAGTTCTTTCAGTCTCCGGCAGCGCTYTCCGACGTGACCCTAGCAAGGGGCTTAATCATCGGCACGCATTGACCCAGGATATAGCAGCCTTCGCCAAATACTTTCAGCAACAGTTGTCCGAGGCACTGACATTTTCATGAAAAGGGTGTGGTCAGYGCATACCAAAAGAGTGACGTCATGGAGGTCGAGCAGGAATAAATATGTAATGTATTTTGACGAACCGCYAAGCTTTAGATAACTGAACAGAT